TGCTGATCATAGGCCTCCCGCGTAGATTGCCTCATCGGGAGGATATTTTCCATTGTTTCTATTGCATTGTTGTTTTTTCATAAAATAAGGGTGACAAACTAGCAGTCTACCTGATGGAAAGTGGAAGCTGTGGCCCATAGATATTCATTTTTAATATAATGGATTTCCGCAAAGTAACACCTGATTCAATTAATTAATTAAAATCAGTTTATAGAAAAAGTTATCCCCGAACATATATGAAACAATAATTTAAACAGGCGAATTGAAAATTCTCTTTTTTGTTTAAGTCTATCAAAAGTATAATTTGTATTTAGTATTACGAAAAACAGCACATTCTGCTTGAAATAAGTGCGAATCACCATTTATTTTCTGTCTGAGCTATAAAAAAATTACGGCATTTTTCAAGAGATATCAAAGGGAGTGAGGCTATATACATTTTATTACTACCTGAAGTACCACCCTTCCGAAGTACACCGGAACGAGTTTATAGTTAAAATAAGATTGCTGATTTCATTTTATGGCGAAAGTGTTTTGTTGTCCTATTCTATTTATGATGTGGATGGGTACTTGTTACACAATAATTCATTTGTTAATTAATTATTCCTTTATAAATATTTAGTGACATGCCGACTTTGAGCACTTGATATTGAATGGGAACTGCAGTCCAGGGACATCTGCAAACAAAATGATTACAGATTAATTGTCTGCTCTATTTAGTTTAATTAAATTAGTTTAATCAGTTCAGAATTAAACCTTCATTTGCCATTATATCCTATTGTATAAATACTATAAATAAATGTTATTGGCCTACCATCAGTCATCATCATCATCAGTCTACTAGTATCATAATCTATTTCACACCGGAATGTGGTGACATGTTACATTGTTTAAGACGCAATTTTATAAAAATAGAAGCTCAGATGGTTAGCGCTCGCTGTAAATTTCACAGTATGTGAGCAAACTGGGTTTGATCCCTGCCGGTACCAATGAAATCGTTAATTACAATTTTAAGTGATAATTTACAACGTGCTCAGAGGTGAAGAAAAAAATTGTGAGGAAACCTGCATATCTGACAAATAAGAAAAAAATATTTTGAGGGCGTGTGAAGTTCGCCAAGATGCATTGGGGTAGCGCGTCGGATAATTCATTGCCCTAAAACTCTCTCAGAAATTAGCGGAAATCTGTGTATACTGGATACTTATTACCAATTTAACACACAGCTTAAGTATAGGCACTGTACTAAGCAAAATTGTATTGCGTAAATCATAACATATGAGTTAAAATTATAAAAATTTAAGAAGGTATCCGATGATATTTAAATGAGAAATCAATACAAACAGTCTAGAGGTCATATTTGAGTCTTATTTATGTCAAAAATAATTGATGTCGCGCTGAGCGTTGACCGTAAATTGAATTTCCTCCTAGTAAACGTCAGCTCACTATTACGATGTTTGCTACGAGGGTCACATTGAAATGATCGGGAATATGAAAAACCACATGCACGGTATAATTAAATTGTATTTTATTGTTTTTCGAAGCGTTCTCAGTACTTCTTCAGTTCAACTTAATGCACTATTCCATTTGTGCAAAGTAATCATTAAAACAGTAATTCCAGTCCGAAATTGATGTTGACAAAATGGCTTATTTGTACGCTTCCACAGCTGCATCGGGGTCTTTAAACCGTTGACCGCGTAATAAATCTTTCATTCTAGGGAATGTAAAGAAATCGTTTGAGCTCAGGTCAGGACTGTACGGAGGATGGCTCATCAGCTCAACGTTTTCCTGCTTCAAAAATCATTTGTCTTTCGAGCCGTATGCGAGCTCGCATTATCGTGATGTAAGATAATGCGACGTTTTGGGTTATTTTTTTCGGAGTTCGGTTATCACTTCTGGCAAACAAACTGTGATATACCACTCAGCCGTAACCATTCTGCGTTCCTGTAAAGGAATTGTAGCAACATGCCCCTTTTTGAGATAAACGTAGCTACCAAGTTATTTGACACGCTGCGGGAGCGAACCACTTTCGTTGGTTTGACTTCGTCTTCGAAGACAAAAACTGCTGACTGATGTTTTCTTCCAAGTTCGTATGAATAAATCCATCACTCGTAACCTGAGACGATATTATAAACGGCATTTGACTTCCCTTTGTTGAAGTGTTGCTGAGTATTCCGTCACCAATCTATACGAGCCGCCTTTTGCTCTTCGGACAAATTGTCGGGAACCCAGCGGGAAACTAGCTTTCTTACACACAGCTCATTATGTAATATCGACTGAATTGCAGTCAATCCGATACTGATAACAGCCCAAATCTGCTCGTATGTCACATGACGGTCATATAATATATAGTTCGCACAGCTGCGATGTTTTCAGGCGTGACCGCTGTTCTTGGTCGACCTGCAGAAGAAACAGTGCTGAGCGACACACAACCGCGTCGGAACTTGGCGTACCAGCAGTATATTGTCATTTGACTCGGTGTTTCAACTCGCTGAGACATTTATGTTGAGATAAGCCGCGACGAAATTTTAGATAAACTATGGCACGGGAATGTTCACGCGTGAGCTCCATATCTGTTAACGTCATGTCAACTTTAAACCAACATAGTTTTTGTTTTTAAACATTTTTTTAATTGTTTGAATGTCATTAAGATTCTAAGAGGTCAGTATCCAAATTTAAAAAAAAGGTTTTATTGTAAATCAATCCGAAATATTCTATTCCCGATCATTTCAGTGTGCCCTAACGTATGTCAACATACTCAAATATTTCATTACGTTAGAATTCAGAATAAAATACAGCGTTATTAATACTTATCTATACATTTTGTATTTGTTTTATAGAATAAGGGTTACAAATGAGCACAGTTTCCATCCGAAAATAGTCTCCTAGTTAGAGGTGACAAATAGAAACGAGGCAATTCATCTTAGTCCTCTAGGATGACAACGCATTTGAATTTGAATTCTTAATCGAGGATAGATGCAGATGTCTATGAGCCTCAGCATCTACGTACAATCGATGGGACTGTGTGCGCGTTTGTTACCGTTATTTTTTTAAACTCCGGTCAGCACCATCACAAAATAGGAATATGTGGAACGTGGAACTTAAGACTGCACTTGATATTGACAATTTTTATAGTGTTGGTGGGTATCGAGCGCGGGATCCTTAAGGAATTAAAATTTTAAAGCAAAATTTAAATTATAAGTGGGATATTGACTTACTAAATGGAGTGCTTCAATGTACGCGTAAGTATCTTTTGTAACTGGCACATTTTTCGTGCCATTTTGTTACCGCAGTTCACAGAGAGTTGTACCTACAACATTGGTGGAGATAACCTTTATGGGTCAAAAAAGAACTCGAAATGCGGGACTCGAAGCAACAAATTTTGTAAGAATCTGAAGCTCAAGGTTAAACTGGAAATATTGATGAGTTCAGCGAGAAATGTCCAGAAACCTGATATATGCGGGGTCACACGAGGTGACCGCGCAGTGGGGACTGCTAGGTACTCTCCTACGATAGTACAGGCCTCCGGTATAGGCTGATACAAGTTAAAGTATTCAAGACCTAATGAGCTCACCCGCAGTCTTCGGATGCGGTGCGGCGAGGCATGCTCCAAACTTCAATAGCTGCGATGCAGTGATGCCGGTCCAATTGGCAGGCTTGGCTGCTAGTACAAACTAGTACACATCGAACGGTTTTAATAGATATCAGTTCCATAGGTTCCAATAATATTTAGTCACAACATGTGGAGTGCGGCGACGAAAAACGCGCGATGCGTACTGTATAAATGACGCAAATTAGGTTTCCGGTACCATGCAACGATATGTAGAATAGGTGATTACATTTCAAGAATTTACCACCATACGGTGCACGTCCATGTAGATGACATAAGGGATGCTGGCTTACAGTTATTGTTTTTACCCCGTTTTTCGAAAATTTCGTTTTTATCAAATCTTAACATTTTGAGGTCACAGGAAGCCATCCTGACAATTTTTCGATAGTGTCTATATGTCTGTATGTATGTGTGGGTGTTTGTGTGGATGTATGTAAACCTCTTATAATTTTTAATGGCTTGACTAATTGAAATGAAATAAGCGGATTTCTAAAGTGTTTTATCAAACTTAGATTTCCTATGAATTTATACTAATTCGGATGGGTAGATTTTGAGAAATCTCAAGTATAAAAATTTTGGAAAAGTTTCGGAATCACTTCTAAACAACTTTACTGATAAATTCCAAAAACTAAGCAGCTTTGTCCCACGTCGATCGCTGCCAGTCCGGTCAAAATCGGTTGATTCGCTCGTGAGATATTGTTAACGAAAAGTTTTGAAAAAATTGTTTTTTCTTTTTTTCAAAAATTATTAGTAGCTACGTTTCAATGTCATTAATTTGTTTAATACAAAAGTAAAATTGCCTGTTTGAAATAATGTGTGGTTTGTACCAGTGTTGGTTTTTAAAAGCTTTTAATCAGCTTAATTTGTATATATCGTCGACTAAATATGCTAAATTGCTAACTCCCAACCATACTGCTTTCGAGGAAAAATAAAAAACTGATTTAAAAATAAAATACTCAAATAAGTGCAATAAACAAAGTCTAGTTTGGTAAAATTTTATTTGTTTCTTATTATTATATCAACATTTTTGAATTTATTTCAATTTAATTACACTTTGCGGCCTTAAATTGGAGTTAGCATATTTTACAATTGTAAATATTTTTTTATGGCGATTAGTTTGGGAGTTATCAGATTTTAATAATTATAGTATTATTTGATTGAAACTACTTTTACAGATTTTATCGCGTTTAATTTACTTGATTTTTAAAATTAAATAAATTAAACGCTATAAAATCCGTAAAAGTAGTTTTAATAAATGTGTAGTGTTCACGTAAATATAAAATATCATAAAGTATTCTTATTAAAAACCAAGTAAAAAATATGTAATATAGTTTTTAATACCGAAACAAATTCACAAAAATAAATTGAACATTATTAACACAAACAATATGGATTTTTAATCATGCGGTAAATTGTTGTAAAATTCTCTGAAATCTGCTGGCAGGACTTCTTTAATTTGTTGAAGGTCATCATATTTTCGAGCTTTAATTTTCAGTCTAGTTTGGTGCAAATTTTGCATTTCCTCAAAACTTTTTGCTGAAAAAGGGCTTTTTCTTTGGGGTAGCAGCATCCATGGCTCTTCAAACCGCAACTTATATGAAATTTCTCCCGATGAAGAATACATGAGTGCGTGAATATCGGTGACTTTAGGGTCTCCCGATGATCGTCCAGGGCGAATGCTTTTGTAGCTCGAAATATTACGGAAATCTTTGAAAAAAGTATGTTCCAAATACTTGACATCAAATGGATTATTGCGCGCAGACTCAATAATTTGAACATAGTCCGCAGGAACATTTATGATTCTATTACGCATTCTCCGTTCTATTAAAGAATGCGTAGCATCCACTTCCATTTGTGTATGGCCGACTTCTAAATATTTCTGCTCGATGGTTATTTTGTTTTTAACTGCCATATTTAATAGCGCATTTGACATAGTCACATTGCGATTTTGATAACCACAGCCATCCGAATAAATAATAATACGTATATCTGTTTTGTTTTCCACTTTAGGTAGAATCTTTTTCTCAATAAAATATGTCCAAATAGAAGCAAACTCATCTGCATTAAGCCCCCCTTCCGTTTCATTCCATACAAAACAATAACCATCTTTGCTGATATTATTATAAAAGCACAAATTATGCACTTGAAGCTTTGTTTTGTAGTACAATGTGCTGACATTTGACTTAGGTGCCATTAAAACTGCTTGAAGATCTACTGTGAATACAAGACTATTATTCGCTTTATCTGTTTGTTTTTCTTTCCTAGCTTCTTCTTTTTTCAATACATGTAATTGATAATCATGTTCTTCCATTGTCCCAGCCTTATATCTTGCACATATTTCACATTCGTCCTTTTTGGGTCTAAACAGACAAAGATTTCTCGATGACATAAACTCACAGAAAGTAGTTTTAGATAGCGGTTGTATGAGGTGCGATTTGCACCAGTCAGATACGTAAAACTTATATAAATCCGTTTTTGTTTTCCAATCAGTTTGCAGATATTTTTTTGGAAGATGAAGCCCGACAGTAATGAGATTCCATTGTTGGTAGAGAGTCGAAAAAATCGGCCATTGATTTTTGCCTGTTTACAAAAGGGTTAACTCTATCTCTGTTAACTCTAAGTTGACTAGGAATGCAAGTATTATCTTTAATTCTATCTTTCCAAGCAATAACAGTCATTCTTCTAATGCCCAAAGTATTTAAATACATAGTTTTGCAAACTCTTACATAACTACCATCAGCTGTTTTTAAATTATACTTGAATGACTGAGCTCGTCGAGAACTATCAGACAGTTTTCGATTCCTATGACGTTTTGTTGGAGCTGATTGAACAGTATCATTAACAAATATTTTCTTCTCTCCCCATGTATATGTTTTCCAAAATTGGTTGAATAGTTTCATTCTTTCTTCATCTTTTATAATGCCACACTTGATTATGCCTGTTTTTCTGCTACATTTGCATCTGTCTTTTAAACGCTTTGGTTCTCTTAAACTTTCATAGACCCATTTAGATTTTTTTTAATTTTGCCATAATATTGAGAGCCTTTTTCGCGCAATTTTTTATTTTTTTCTGCAAACCAGGTATTTTTATTTACTTGAGTTCGTCTTTTTCTGAATTTACTCTTCTCAGGCAAGGAAGTATCGCTATCGTTTTCTGAACTTGATGAGTATGGAACTAATTTAGGATCGCCAAAATTATCACTAAAATTGGATATTAAATCGCAGTTTTCTATATAAGTATCATTAAAATTTTCTCGCATCGATGAATCGTAAACCCTAACATTATCACAAATTTTTAAAGAATGTGTATTGCTAATTATGTTTGCATTTTCACTAGGTACGTCAAATGTAGTAAAAAATCAGGAACATCAACTATTTCAATCTGTGCATTTTCTACTAGCGAGTAATGTTCAATGTAATCTTCTAACGGTACATTTAAACTAGATTCAGTAGGATTGTCCATCATATTGATAACATTGTTTAATGTATTCGTGTATCTACTATTCTGATCAGCATCAAAATTATTGTTAATAATGGTATTTCCCTTATTAAGCAATAATTCTTGACGCGTAGTAAGAGAATCGCCATGTTGTTCTGTATTAAGAGCTAAACTGATAAGCTTCCTAGCCCTATCTGAAGCCATCTGTGGATAAAACAAAAGCAAAATAAGCCACCACATCAAGCATAGCACATAAATAATTGATCCATGCGAAAATTGGACCCAAAACCTATTGTTTAAATATCTTTATCGTTACTATTGTGCCGTCGAACATCATTACAAAACCAAAAACTAATTTTAAAATAAAGCGTTAAAATACTAAAACAAAGTTACAAAACTCTTATGTAAAAAATAAAAATATCCAACTCCTAAACAATATATGAAATAGTAAGAAATGAATTATGCTAACTCCCTTATCATACAAGTTTACATTTCATTTGTACTTTCGTATAAATTTTGCTTAGATATGTGTATCAGAACTATAAATAAATTATAGAATAATACTTACATTTTACAAAAAAATACAGTCACGTGTAAAGCTTCAAATAAACCTTATTTTTTAGAATTAAACTCTCGGAAACACTGATAGTACTGCTCAAACTGCTAGAAGATGGCGTCGAATGGCGGGAGTTAACATGATTTCCCGCGTGATTTGACAGGCGTGGAGTTAGCATAAAAGATTGAGGCGCGAAATCTATAACCTGGGTTTAGTTTGCGTATTAAGCATATTTGACGATTATGCGCTATTTTTTTCTCTTTCGTTTGATACCAAAAAGTCAATTTAGCCTAAAATGGAGTTAGCAACTTAGAACTTTTAGCCGAGGATATGTATGAAGGTATTGGAATGTTTTTTATTTATTTAATATTAATTTAATAACAGCTACTTCCACTTTCATGTTTGAATAATTTGAAATTTTGCAAACGTATTGAACTTTTAGTTGAAAAATTACTGTATGATCTATGAGAGAAAAAATGGGAGTACTGTTATTCAATTATGAGAGTTACACAGGGGCATTACCAGCTTTCACTTTATCAAAATGTAGGGCACGGATACGTGGACAATCATAATAAAACATTAATAATTTTTTCCTTTCCTCAGAAGTGATTCATCATCATCATCATCATTACAGCCCTTCACAAGTCTACTGCTGAACATAGGCCTCCCCCAAGGTATGCCACAAAGCACGGTCCTGAGCCACCTGCATCCATCGACTTCCTGCATGTCTACCAGGTCGTCACTCCATCTAGTGGGAGGTCGCTCTACATTTCGCCAACCAGTACGAGACTGCCACTCGAGAACCTTTCTTCCCCATCGGTTATCTGTTCTTTGAGCTATATGGCCGGCCCATTGCCACTTCAGCTTATTAATCCGTTGGGCTATGTCGGTCACTCTGGTTTTACTGCGGATATCCTCTTTTCTGAGTCTATCACGCAGAGAAACTCCGAGCATAGCCCTCTCCATAGCTCGCTGAGCAACCTTGAGCGTCCTCATACGGCCAGCAGTGAAGGACCACATCTTAGATCCGTAAGTCATCACTGGCAACACGCACTGGTTGTACAATCTAGTTTTCAGAGATTGAGGTATACCTGACGAGAAGATGTGTCGTAATTTCCCGAAAGCTGTCCAGCCGAGTTGAATCCGTCGATTGACCTCTCGGTCGAAGTTGGACTTACCAAATCGGACTATTTGTCTCAGGTAAACGTACTCAACAACTTCGAGCTTAGTGTGTGTGTTAGAAGTTAGAAGTGATTGCCGGTTGAGATTCAGTAGCTAGGGTACTCTGACCGCTAAGGGATTGTCTATCTTAGTATTTTATAATGAGATGCGATTGTAAGAAATTATTCAAAGTTGTTGTTTTAGAAATAAAAACGAACCACGTACAACTTACTGAGGATTTAAGTTGTTAAATAAAGAATTTTAAATTGATGCAAGACTTAATTATGCGAAAAACCTAAAAAGTTTTATATTTCAAATGATCACTTTTATATATTGACTAGTTACTTGCTTTCTAAGTTTTTGATATTTCGTAAACAGCTAAAAGGTAACTTAAATAACATAGAGAAAGCTGAACACTTTTTATAAAAAACTTCTAAAGTAAGTTAATGATGTAATCAACTGTAATGATGTAATTATATTTTTGTATTTTGATTTTATAATTAGTGTTTAGTTCTATAAAAGGGAAAAATGGAATCTTTATGGGAATTGTTTGTGCTTAGTTTGTCCGTCTCTCGAGATAATTTTTCTCAGAAACAGTTAGAGGTATCAAGTTGCAACCAAAATACAATAATTGTAATATATTTTGTGAAACTGTATGACACTTCCCGCACCCAGAACCATGAACCAGATTTCTTGCTTTGACAAGAAGCAGGGTCACAGAGCACAAATAGAAGAAAAACTTCGAAAACGGTTTTTTTCTACTATTTCTCCCAACTTTATCCTTTTCGTCAGACGTAAAGTGCGATGGGAATCAACTGTGCGAGACTTTTCACACAGATTCTTTCCATTCTCTTTAGTCTGCGCATCGGAATTCGAGTTTATTGCCCAGGTTGAAGAATTTGAATAAGAGGTTAATGTTTTGTAACTATCATAGTAAGAACAGAATAATAGGATAACTGCCACGCCGCGCGGGACTAAAATGTCTACTGTTGCAGAGTTTTCACTGTCTTTTTGTTTAGCAGCTAAGTTTCATTTAGTTTTATAAGTAGTTATAATATTTACAAACATAATACACACGAATACATACCTATGCATCATATTTGAAAATAATTTCTTTAGTTTTCTTTCAAAAAATCTATGTTTGTCACAAAAAAATTTCAGCTTTACATTACAACAAATGCCAAATAACTAAAGTAAGAGTAAATTAACACTGAGCGTATGGTGTCAGCTCAGATTTTTGTGTTTTGATACCCAATTAATAAAAAGCTAATTTACTTAAACAAACGCATATATTAATTTATTTTACAAAGAGAGAAAACTGCTGATAAAAGACTGCTAGCGAATTTTTTTTAAAAGTCAACAAGTATCAAACAAAGGTGCCGTCGAAAAGCCGTCCCGATTCGGAGACATCTTCCCGACTTAGCAAGAGTCGTTATGTGCGTGCTGTGGCTCTCGCGTACGAGTTCGTACTGTCACGTGCCAGGCACGCACGGATATTAGCGGCGTTCGTTATATTTCTTAGAATATAGCCTACTATTCAGATATTACTATCTTACTACGTAAAAGGTACAAAGGTACTTTTTTATTTTTAACTTGGCTACAATTTAGTTCCGTCGACGGCAGGAAAAACTTTAGTCACTGTAGCAGCCGTTCTCCAGTTTTTTGATCAAAGCGTGTGCTCCTTCAGCCAGTTGTCCTGTAAAGGTTGACTATTTGCTAATTTGCTGCAAAAACATACTCTATTTAAAACAAGTAAGTCTACGAGTGCTATTTGTACGCATTAAACTTTGATAGCGTTAAAGCCTGTTGACGTTGATGTAAGCAACCTGAGTGAATAGATAGAAGTAATCACCTAAATGAAAACGAGGAGGTGTTTCCACTTTTACTCTTTTTTCATGCCAATTTTCCAATTTCTAAGTTACCAAAATGCAATCTATGTGATTAGTAAGTGAGTGGATCAGTTAGTGAGTGATAAATACGGCACTTTTCTGACCTTAATAACTAAATAAATATAATAGGCTTAGGAATTACTTTAGGGGTACTAGGTATCAACGGGTCCTTATTGAATCTGTGAAATAACATTTTTTTATGTCTAATAGTTTAGTTTTTCTTTTAGTTATGCGTGAGTTCATAAGTGGCTCAAAGTGGGTCGCGTAAATATATTCGTAGGTCTGAAGAATCTAATTAAAGAGAAGTTCTCACTTCTCTCGAGCAAGAATTGATTCAATTAAAATGTTTTATGTTGTGTATTCATGTTGCATATTCAAAAAGCTTACATATTTTTTTTAATAAAATAAAATATATAAACCAAAGATTTGTAACAAATCGTAGAATAAATGCACGAGAAAGAGTTCGCAGGTATTCAAAGTACTTGAGACACGGCGGCCCGTGTTGCTTTATGACTTGAGATATTCAAAAAGGAATTAAATTCCTTGTTGAAGCGAAGTCGACTTGTGAAAACGCTTTCACAAATTGGAAATTTTAAATCGAACAACAAATCCAACGGTTCTTAAATTAATTCGTTTAGCATTAAAGCAGATCACTCCACATTAATAATATTTTTTCTTTTTTTATCGGACAATTAAAAGTTACAAATATCAATTATGTCTTATTCACATCAAATACATGCCAAGTGGTGGTGGCGTAAAGAAGTCATCACGCCATTTCGTTCTGTTGATATCATAAGAGGTGACATTAGGAAATGTCAAAAACTCTTATGCCTTAAGATAAAAGGCAGTATCACCATCTTCTTTGGATAAGGATGACAATCAACACACTTTCCACGTAATGGTAAGTGGATAGCCCATATATAACTACATATACCCTAGCAACAAGATAGAATGGCTCGAAACCAGTAAATGTGGTCTCCGGTTATCTACAGTCACCATGCGATCATGAACAAACCAATACAGCAGCGTTAAGCTCCTATTTTAGGTTGGTATTCTGGGAGAGCATGGTGGTTATGACCTGTTCATGCTACAAATATAATGAAGATTAATATAACATATACTCCATTGCTAGTCACCTACTTTATTAAGCCATCTCGTTTACGTAGATATCAAAAGTTCAAGACTACTTGCACTGCGATAAATCCGCCTGCCAAGCATGACTGTTAAATTAATCCTATCTACATGTTTTATACGTACTACATTTGTTATTTACGAACTAAATGTACTAATTCTTACATTTTTTAACGTCTTTGATATAAGAGGCAATAAATTACACATGTGCAGCCCCATCTGCACGTAAAAATCTAATTGCCTTCTTTTTACTTATTAGACAGGTTTGCAAATGCTTGAAGTTTCTGTAAGAAAAATATTTTCTCTTTAGTACTAGGTACGTCCTTGTTGCGGACAAAAGTGCAGTATAAACGTGCATATACAAATTGTTTTGTCTCTAATCCATATTGTGATTCCATAAAAAATCTTGGCCTGTACATGAATAAAACTATGACCTGGAAATTTCAGATCTCTGAAGTTAGTCATAA